TGCGATCCGTTGCCGGACACGGAAAAAAGACAAAAGACAAAAAAAAAAAAAAAAGAAGCTGAGGTTAAGAACTTCTGAGCTATTTATTGACGAAGTATGGTACATAAATCTTCCTTAGCTGGTAACAGGACCAAGGGACACAGCATTTATGGGCAAGGAAAAAAAAATTCAGTGGTGTTCAGACTAATGGATCTTATGTTCTTATCTAGACTTAAACATACCTCTCATCTATCTTTATTATCTTGAGTTTTTTTCTTTAAAAGCTGGTTTTAGGGCTGGCCAGTTAGCTTAGTTGGTCAGAGTGCAGTGCTGATAACAGCAAGGTCCGGGGTTTGATCCCTGTACCGACCAGCTGCCAGAAAATAAAAAAGAAATAGGAGTATAATACAGCATTTGTTGATGAACAGGTTTATGCCCAGAATATGCACAAAGTATTTTGGCACAGCTACTTCTAAGACAATGGTAGACATAGGAATTTTTTTTTTTCTTTTTTGGGGGGCTGCTGGTAACTATACAGGAATCTTAATGCTCAGGGTCTTCAGTGGTCCTAGGCTGCTGGCTGGGAAAGGGTATTCTGGCAGTGAAGGGAGAAGTCGTTTACTTCATAAATGTAAATAACAATGTACAAAGCATGTATTAGTCCATTTCTGTTGCTTATAACAAAATACACAGAACTGGGAATTTTATAAAGAAAATGAAATTTATTGCTTACAGTTTCAGAGGCTAGGAAGTCCAAAGTCCAGGGAACACATCTAGTGAAGGCCTCCTTTGGTGGTGGTGACCGTGACAGCAGGGTATCACATTGAAAAATGGCAGAGCAGAGAGAGACTGACCTCCTCATTCACTCTCTTTTTAAAGCCCTCAGAACCACACCCGTGACTATTTTTAATTCATTTCCTATTGGCGTGGTCCTACAATCTAATCACCTCTTCAAGGCTCCACCTTTCAATTACTATAATAGGGTTTCTCACCCTCTTAACAGTCACAGTGTGGGCCAAGTTTCTAATACATAAAACTTGGGGGACACAGTTCAAGCTTCAGTGAGTTTTGGGGGGACATAATGCAGTCCAGTACAGCACATGATGGTAATGCACAGCCATGCCCACCCTCACGGAGTTTGTGATGTAGGAGGCCACGACACGCATGGTTTCCAGTGTTTCCCAGTTAACTCGCTGCCTAACGTAACCCTGGGTTCAGTCTTGGATGGAATGCATTTTGTCTTCAGCACAGCTGAATTCTTTTGTTACTTAGCTGGTGTCAAGCCACTTATGCCAAGATCAACCCTAGCAGCCTTACCCAGTTGCCCTAGCAGACTCTGCTTTATGCTCATAAATTGTAAAGAGTTGGAAAGAACCTTCCACACAGGAGAGGAGACCAAGGCCCAAACTCTGGTTTATTTATTCATTTATTCATTTTTTTTTCCTTTTTGTCTTTTTTTACTGACCGGTAACGGGATCGCAGCCCTCAGTGTCGCACCCGTACCGGGGACCGGCAACGGGATCGCAACCCTTGGTGTTGCGCCCGCACCGCGCTCAGCCAGTGAGCGGGAACCAGTCTCCACATGGGATCCGAACCCT